CCCGCCCGCTGCTCCCCCCTCCCCCGCTATGGTCTCTCTCCCGCGGCATGTGGAGCCCATTCCCTGCTCCTTCATCTTCGTCTTGCTTCTTGCTGCTGTTGTTTTTGCTCGCCGCGCCGCCCGCCCGCCACCGCCACTGCCCTTCCGTTATCGTCGTTTTGGATTCTTTTTGTTAAAAGATTGGACGGGCCCATTCCCATCCATCGCTTTGAGGTCCGAGCTGCTCATATACCGCGATCTTCCTTTTGAAGTTTCGCTGTTTCTGCCTGTCCTCTGTTGTGTCTCATTGATGGTGAACGACATTAGAATAGAGTCCAAGTGTTTAAAATGGTGCTTAAAATAAGTAGATAAAAACAAATTACTCTGTTTGAGAAAGCTGTATTTCATAACAGTCATTATCTATACAAACTTGAAGGCAACATATTAAAACTGGAACAAAACATACACGGGAACTAATGCATTATTACATACATGGTCACATAATGCTTCAATAAATACATGAAATAGTAGATGTTTTCCAAACAAGGGATGCAAACCATCAATAGCTGAAATATGGCAAGTCAATTAACAGTCATTTAAAGTAAGAGCACTAGTTTCAGCACAAGAATAAGTTTAAAATAAAACAGGAAAAATAAAAGATTATTAAGAGGCAATATGGTGATAACTTTTGGTTTAGATATATGACAAAAGAGAGCTAATAGTAGCCAACAATATTGTTCAAATTTTTAAAAATAATCATACACAAATATAACTATTTTGGATAGATATGCAGTAGTTTGATCAAATTATTTCAGTGTATTAAAGAAAGAAAAGTAGATTTCTGGTCCACATAGGGGTATAGTTTAACCATTAGAAGACCTGAAAACATCAGACAGCTAAGACATAGGCAAATAATTACAACACATACTTAAAATATCACACTGGCATATAAATGATAGCAGAATGAGAGGGACAGAAAGTTAGATGGGTGAATCTTTTTAGATTAATACTGTGTTAGCAATATGAATGCAGTGAAACAATTGGAATGCAAACATATTGTAGAACAAATCCACAATAAAATTATGATCAGGAATGATCACACAGACTATAAAATGTTTGTTGCTCATATATGAAAATTGCTCCCATTGTTTCAAAAAAGTATGATATATTGAAGACAGATGACATGTACAAAGAATTGAGCACAATCAGATATGCAATACTAGTGAATGGATAAATGATATGGGCTTTGACTAAAATAAAATGTTGTGTCTACACTAAAACTGAACAAATTTGGCACCAAACAATTAATTTTGAGATGATCTGCCATAAAGTAAAAATAACTGAAAGCCAAGACATTCAGCTCATTTGAGTCATGTTCACTCAACATAGAGGAAACACAATATCTAAGAGAAATAATAATCACATGGACAACTAACACAACACATTGGTTGCAAACTACAAAGGTGAGCAGTGTTGAGGGGAAACAGAACAGACATGTGCAGGTGAACAAAATAATCAGAAACCAAAATTACACAAAATATTCTACATTTAATGTAAGGGAATATGACTAGATTGTATTTGAAGCAGTGATTTCAGAGCAACAGATTTCTCAAGTGGTGCCTTATGTACCACTGATCATTCATACTTTCTGGCTTGCAAAATACAGGGAGGGAGGCCCATGAGTGCCATTCTCCTTATACTGCACCGGATGAAGGAATGCGGACGGGTTGCATACTCGTACGGGGCTGTAAGGCGCCCGTGAGCGACGATAGGCACGTCTAAGTCCGCCCGCACGCCTGCATCCGGCACAGTGTAACCAGAAGAAAGAACGGCGCCGGTGGCCCCCCTCTATACGACTCTGATTTCTCAAAGCAAACAGGTATGCTGACACTGATCAAATCTACTCTCAACACAACGTTTGAAGGGAAAGCTAACCAGGATAGATTAGGTCTTTAGATCACAACTGCACATATTTACATAAAAAAAGAACGAATCAATTATGGACAATAGAGAAAACTGGTTGGCTCTTCAAGAATTGACAGGAAAAATAAAATTTTCAGAGAGCACTGTTGAGGTATGTACTTGAATCCAAAATTCTGAAAGAGAATGTTATAATTTAGATGTACAAATAATTGATCGGACCAGATAATTTTTTTCAGTAGTAATCAGTTTCTTTCTCTCAAATAATAAAATGTAGGCACACAAAAATTTCCACGAATTACTGTGATGATGAATGGATCACAGCCAAATCAAGAGATTTCTACTCTCCTAAATATCAACTAACTCTGCTATGTTTCCCAGGGTTCTCAGAGGTCAAGTACATCTACAGAGAGCTAAAACAATTTTTTTTACATGATTTTTTTTTTTTTTTTTACTACATGAATGCTTTAAATAAATGTATGTATGTACATCAAATTTGTAAAAGTTCTACCATTGTATCGGCTAAAAGCACAGCAGTCAGTTCAAATTAGAACGTACCTCAAACTTCTTTTTCAAGAGGTTTGGCATTTAGAATACAAGGACACAACCAACAATAATTTTAGAGACAGTTTTCCAGTATTTTACAATAATTGACACTCTACACTCTGGGAAACAATTGCTACATCAAGGTGATCTTACAAAAGTCTCCCAAAAATAAGCATTATCTTTTAGGTTGTTTTGGATCAGAATAATAAGTTATTTTAGGATGCCCAAAATACAAAGAGTTCACCGTCTGCAATAGCTTTCGATCAAACTTACAAATTGTTGCCTTGCATTTACTATGATCTTATGGTACACCCTTAACAATAGCCCAACTGCTTTACTTTTAAAAAGTGAGCTGAGCTAGAGCATGTCCACATGTAAAAATTATGACTCATGGTAAACATTTCCCTGTTTGGGTAGTACACCAAAAAAATCTACTTTTGTCAAAGTCAGTTCACTGAACTAAACTATGAAACAGTAACATGAGGCAAAAGTAGACTTGATTGTGCTATTAAATCAAAGGTAGTTACAATTTGGCTAGTTTTTAAATTAAAGTAGCAGGCACTTGGAATAAATCACAAGTCTAATGTTATAAATTGACACTAAATACTTGCTATACCTCTCTAAAGTATACTGAGTATTGCTCTACCTTGAACTATTACATTTAACTTTTATTGAATGGAAGTAATGGAACAAGCAATGAATGTCAGTTAAGCATGGTAATGCATAGTTGTGATGGTGATAGTTATAAATATTCATACAACTACAAAGAAACATTATAAGTCTTGTCATGTTCCATGAGTAAAGAAGGTATAAAATAAACTATAACATAAACATGAGATTATTAATTGTCTTAAATGCCAGGGGCATGAGGGAAAGTTCACTATACACATGCTATACACAAGCGCCAATTTCGAAAGTGTAACAAATAATCAGGACTGAGTGTCTGAGAGTAGAGACAGACTGCTATTTGACACCACAAATATCAGTCTTCTGAGTACTAATAAAGAAGACACTGCAATTTTTCACAGGGGAAAAAAAAATGATACATTTAGAAGGGAAATATACTAAATAACAAGTCTGCGTAAAATTTTAACAACAAACCAGAATTTTCATCACATGTTCCTCCAAATCATTTGTGAGGTATATAGATTAAAAGCAATTTCTTTGTTTGAGATGGTAAAAGGAAAATGCAGACACTTGGTATTTTACAGAATTCTTTTCAAAAACATAAAAAATGAATATCTATAAGAGGTGGCAAGAGATTGCAGCATTACGCCTAGCGAGAACTAACTTGTTCAATATCAATATCATATCACACTATTCAAACGACATAAGATTCGCAGGAAGAGGTTTTTCAGGAGATCCAATTGTTAGCTCTTGCAAATGACGACACCATTTAATAGCAGTGCTTTTACTTCCAGATCGAAACTTGTAGACATTTCCTGAAACAGATATTTGCCATTACAGGAAGATCTGGAGATGTTACGAAATATTAATCCAATAATTATTAAACTAACCTCTCACAGGATCTGCAAGTTGAAAAACATCAGGCTGCACTGGATTGTCACCCAAAGCGACGCACATGCCTGAGACAGCGGTGATTTTGCAAGGCTCATGTTTGAAGTCTGACCGCTCTGTGCTGCAATGTGCAATGAAAAATAAAAATAAACCATTATCAAGGTAAACATAGACATAAATCATATCCTGTATGGGGTTAACTTTTAAATAAGAAAATCAAAAAGAGATTTACATACCCTTTGAAGGACTTGGGTGAAAAATAAATAAGTGATGAGGCCCATAACTCAACCCAATAACGTTGCCATGATGAAACTGCTGGTTTTCGTCCATCCTTCAGCACTGTTTTACGGCGAAGGCATCCTTGAACCAAACATTCTTCTCCAAGCTCATCAGTTTCTGCAAGTAATGATGAACTGCAAAACCAGGGAATGGACACATCAGACAGAGCAAAACAGGAAGAATTAAAATAATTGAATAATTTACTAACCCAAACATGGTAAGCAATTTGACCCCATCTTCATCCTTGCGCCGGATCGGTGAAGGAGGGTGAGGTAACTTAGGTGTCCCATCAACTCCAAGTGAAGGTGAACTATTTTCCTCTAGCACAGAATCATCAAGAAGATGGCGAGGAGTTGAAGGTGCTGGAAGCTGAGATGCTAAACCAACATCTCCACAGGGTGCTGCATGGGAAGCCTTGTGGAAAATGCTGTAATCAGACCAAACAAGCCTTTAAGTAAAATAAGAAGGCCAAGGCCAAACATTTCCTATTCGTTAATGTTGTTCACAGTAAAAATGAACATATAATAGAAACAGATACAAGTATTGAAATATCACTGGTACAAAAAGTGAATAAGAGTAGATTAGTAGCTACTCAATTCAGTTGAGCATACGCCAGCACACCATGCTAAATTAAATTACAGAGCATGCAAACAGGCAAGCTGGAAATTATGTACAAATTCACAGAAAGCAAAAAATTAACAAGTTGGTTGTGTGAAAGTAGCACAAGAGAGAGAGAGGGAGAGCGAGAGAGAGAAAGAGAGGAGAAGAGAGACAGGAAACAAAAATAGAATGGCATAAAACCAATCATGTTGTAACCTAAGGCTGAGATAGTGAAACAGTTCAATACTACAGATGCAAGTCTCCAAACAGTTTTGGTCTTTATGAAATATAGACATATAGAATTACTTGTGGGTGAAAAGAAAACATTTCAAATTAATAAGCACTAGTGTCATCACACACAAGAAAATCATTACCACATGCACAAAAGAACAATTAACAACAACAATTATACAAATAATGGGAAGGTTAAATAAAAACAAAAAAAAACAACAAAACAACAAAAAAACAATAAAACTACACAGGATAACAGCTATGGTGTTCCTTAGAAACCTTGAGAATGCAGTGTGATCAACTACAATTTTTTGCAGAAAAAAATTATCAGCATACTGACGACAGACCTACTTCACACCAGCTCATGTCTCAAAGAAAGAAATATCCTAGGGTTTTAAAGGTAGATGTAGAGATGCCAAAAAATTACTTGGTTCATGATACATATATTTATCGCCTATCAGATAAAATGCAACAAATATAAAGGGTTGGGCTTTGCTATCACTCACCCTGGAGCCACCATTCCCATAGAGGCTAGAAGAGTAGCTTGCCCTTGTTTATGAAGATTTCGTGGGAGGCTTGTGCTACGAAATCTGACACAACAATATTTGAAGGTGAACAAAACGTTCTAACTGACCAAAAATCCTTCACCAGAAGAAACACACAACAGTTCCCAAAACACACGCATTCGATGGAAAATAAAAACAGGTTAAAGGAAGAGGTACCAGACACATGTTTGTACTATACCAACATAACGATACCAAGACCACTAAAACTAAAATAGTTCATCACAATCGCTCAGGAAAATTTTTCTTCCAGCAGAGGATTATTATTTGTAAATAATAGATACTGCCCAATGTTTGTTTTTTTATGTATTGTATATGTGCATGTATGTACATATGCATATGAATGTATCTATAGTATAATTTAGAGTCTGTTTTCAAATGTAATTTTTGGAGAGATACACCTCTTGATTTTTTAGTTTAGACGATAGTTGAAGATGAGACACGACAGAACAAAAGAAAAACCAAACCAACCAAACAACAAAACAACACACAAACAAACTGAAAAGGTTACCATTTAAATTGGTAATAATATTTGATAAATTGAATGAAAAATCTAAATGTTACTTACTTTGTTCCTAAACTGCGGCATTTTCGATGGCCAGGTACAAATTTGCCGGTGGCATTGACTGCTGCATGTAAACGCAATGATCCTGCACAGCCAGGGCCTTTAGCTGGGGACAAATTTAGAGAAGCAACAGTAGCAGCTGCCTCAGTAACAGACTCTTTTGAGCTAGAGGATGACGGTGCTGGGGAAGGAGGCTCCAGTTTTAATGATAACCTGAAAAGAAACGGAAACAATTGTTACAAATAGCTGCATTTTCAGCCTATTCTGACTTCAATTTCAAGAAGTGGTAAAATGCTTACTTGTACTGGTCGTCTTCAACAAACTTTTGTAGTTCTTCAATGTAGCGCACTGAACGTAAATAGTTTTGCACATGCGGGAGAAGTACTAGGTTGCGGTAATCAGATTGTTGGTAATCAGATATGATTCTTAATATGTTATTCATTTTAAGTCTCCTCTGTTCTGATTCCAGGCCACCAGAATGTGGGTGAGCCATATCTATGTACACTAAATCTGTCAAAAAAAGACCTGAAACAAAACAACAATAGATAAATAAAATTGAATAAAATAGAGTTACACTGTATTTGTGGCATTGAAAATTTTATATGGAAGTGTGACAGACCTAGGTATGGAATGCAAGGGAGTTTAAGGCTCTCCATATGTTCTCGAAGGTTTTGCCAATTATTCTTATCAGAGAAAAGCTCAGCTAATTTATCAAATAACTGCTTTTCTTTCTTAGAAAGATGTCCCCATGTCTTATTAAGTCTGTTAACATAGAGTGAACATAAAATTAGTCAGTTTAAAACACACTGAAAGACTTTGAAAAAATATACAAATTATGCAGTAAGAATTTACCTGTAGACAGATGCACTCTGCAATGCAGAGATAATGGCAAAAAGAGAATGTAGATTGTTAAGCTCATGTAGCTTTTTTGCTATTCTAATGAAATGTACTAGGATTTCCGAACGCTGTTTCGGTGTTGGTCCGCTGAGGATCTCTTGCACAGTCCAAAAACTCACCTGAACAAATTAGAAGAACGTTAGGGGGTCAACCATGATACCAAAACACCCCAAATACTCAGTTACTACTTACATGATTAAATCTTCTAGTGAATGCAACTACATTTGGGGCAATTACAAGCTTGTTCTTCTTATTCCACCCACAGCTAATCAGTTCATCTGGTTGGATACCACGAAAAGGGGGAAGGTCAAGGATAGTAAGCTGCGCAGCAAAGTCCTCAGGAGAAACACGAAGAGCATCAAGCACCACTTTGTCATATCCACACACAGATGCTCCAGATGTGTGCCCAGGAAGACTCTGAGATTTGCTATGAGGTGAAATGTTACTTCCAGAGGGCAGAGAACTGAAAATAGTTGCACAGTTTAAAATGGTGTTTAACATACAGAACACATTGACACTAAAAGAGGGAGGTCAGACTTACCCATAGTTGTCATAGCAAGCTCCTTTGCTGTCAGACATATTTGATTGCAGGGACCTTTTGGCATGACCTGCAGAAGGTGTTCTCGAAATACCATGACGATGCCTGGCAGAGAGCTTATTGCCCGAACTTCCGTTTTGTGTACTATCACGACGTAAAAGCCCATTAGTTCCATTAGGATTTTCTGAACTTGGGCTGCTATTATGGTAAGGTGACGTAGGCTCTCCGTACTCGCTGATGGGCGACTTGTCTTGAAAGAGGCTGCCTCCAGACCCACTGCCACAGTTCTGGTCGAAAAAGATAAAGAAGAAACGATTGCAATTAAATCGAAGGCAAACAAATAATTCTCTCCGATGTTCTCTTTTGGGTAGCTTACCCACAAGCAACAGGAAAAAATATTACACACTAGGAACCGCATGATACAGTTAGGTTGTTCAGGGTCGCTACACATATGTGACACACTGCTAGCCGCTTCCAGTGTCTGGAGCGCAAAGCATCAAGAAAAGGCTTCTATGGGCGCGCCCTGCCTTGCTCTGCTCTGAGAAACAGGTGCAACTCATCTGACTGCTATCAGCTGCCCTCGGTGATAAGGCACTGGCGGGAGCCCGAGCGGAGCAGAGTGCAGGGCAGGCCAAGTCCTGGGCAGGTACTGGCTATGGGAGAGGACGTGTGAAGGGGAGAAGGAGTTGGAGAGGGGAGGATGGAAGGGGGCGAAGGAAAGAGAGAGAGAGCGAGAAAATGTAGGGAGGAGGGGGGGGGGACAGCACCATCCTAACAAGGCGATTAATTGCATTACTCCACAATGATTAGGGATCACTAACCATGGCCAGTCCACGGGCCACTCTGTCTATAAGACAAGATAACCACGTTTGCATTTTCCCCTCTGCCCCACTCCCAAATTCTCTTGACCTAAAGCCATACCCCCAGACCTCTTCAAAACGTTTTTCCTTCGGACATTTACGTGACAGCTGGCTACGGACCACAAATTTAGAGCTCGGTAAAAAAAGGAGGGGGGCGCATTATGAGATACTCACGTCTGATATCCTTAGGGTGGCCAGGCTGTCGCAGGAGACATCTCTTGGCATCTCGGAGTACCGCATCTTGGCCATGGGCTCCGGGCTTAGAGGCGAGCAGTCATCATCAGAGCGGATCAGAACATAACTGCAACAGAAGCAGACGACGGGCACACATGAGACAAAAAGTATAAAATGATAGAGAGCACGACAAACGATGAAAAAAAAAACGAAGAAAGAAGAATCGTTGATAAAAAAACAAACTCTTTCACGCTGTCGTTCATCTTGCGCGCGCGCACGGCTGTTATCTAGTATCTAATGCATGACGGCCAACAGTCCACGCCATTCGCACCTCCGAGATGCGGCGCGCGGGCCCCGCAAGAGAGGGACCCCCGGCCGCCCGCATGGCACCCGGGTGCTAAGCGTTGGCCAACGGTCACACCGTGGTCACACCGTGCCCGCGCCGTGGTCACACCCTTGCCCTACCCTTCCCCCTTCTCTGCCCCTCCCCGCAGCGCGTCTAAGCGGCTAGGCGGCCGGGGAAGGCCAAACCCGCTGGCAGCTCTCTCTCTCTCTCCCTCTACCGGTGAAAGGAGAATCGAAAGTCACCGTCTCCTTCCGCTGTGACGCACTTTATTTGACAGGCAGTGACAAACATGAAAACTTTAGAGAAATTAAGCAGGGAGTAAGCTATTGAAGTCTGACGCTGGGAAAGCCCGATATACGCGATTCTGTGCGTGAAAGGAAAGAAGGAAAAAGTACCGTTGAGAGCAGGTGGTATTTATTCAAATTTTCCCCAACATGCAGATATGTCAGTTGAGTAAAGTGCCTGAGTAGAGTGAACGCCAGCTGACACACAAAAAAGGGGTAGCATATTATGTATCAGTAGTTTAATGAAATGTACAACCAGCACAAATCAGAAAACGATAGAGAATAATCTCTCTTCATCCCATTCAAGTCCTTGCAGACGCACATACAAGGTGCTCGGACCCGCGGCCCAGCTCGGCGCGCAGCGCACCCACGCCCGTCACTACTGCTGATCGCGAGAGTCGGAATTTTCCGCACACTTAGACAGCTCGCGCGCCCTGCCCCCCCGGGGGGCCCACCCCGGCCCCAGCGCGCCACGGCACGGCCTGGCTTCCGTGGCTCCCTGCAAATGAACCCATTTCGCGAGCAAATGTGGGTGCAAAAGCAACAGCAACACCCACCCTGCGCGTGCGAGTGAGTGTGCGCGGCACAGGGCGCTGAGCCGGGGGCGGCGCGGGGGCGGCGCGGGGGCGGCGCGGCGGCGGCGGGTGCGTTTGGGCGGGGGCTAATCCGCACACTTTCAAACGGGCAACTCGCGTTTACTGCATTTGCGAGAATTCGTCTGAACGTCGGCCCAATCCTTTAACGCCAAAAACACGCGCCGTTTTGCAATTCGCCACGTATTTGTCAAAGGGACGCTCGATTGAACGCTTTCACTGCTTTTCGGCTTTCGCACCTTCCTCTCCCCTCCCTCCCTCTCTGTTTCCCTTTCCCGAGGCGCCAGCGCACCGCCGCGCGCATCCGCGCACCGACAGCTATTTCCGAGTGAACTAGAGCTTGAGACAAGAAGACATTGTCCTCGCCTCGGCCGCACAGTGCAGCGCAACACCGCGACACTGCACCAGCCAGGCACTACACGGCAAAAACGACGCGTGGGGGTGATGGTAGCAAGAAAACCAACTTGATTATTAAAAGAAACAGACAATAAATAAAAAAATTAATGTCAAGACATTTTTTATTGGCCGAGCGTTATAAAATGGTTTTTTTCTGTTTGAACGGTAACAAAAACAGCACACGACTACAATCACGACCACCACACAAAAATGCACATAAAATGTATTCAGAAATACAACGACGGCAGTGAGTAGCGTGATAGACAAGAGGGGCCGGGCCGAGCCGAGCGGGAGGAGGCCCCCGTGCAGCTATGCAGTCCCGCCGGGCAGCCCTGCGCTCGGCCCGGCCGGCCGGCCTACCCGCGAGGCGCGCTGCGGGCCGGCTGAGCTAGAGAGCGGGGAGCGCGCTCGTCACACTGTCACCTGACTGCACCGGCGGGCAGGGCACCTGCGGGTGTGCAGAGAACGTTACAAGCTCGTGTTTGTGCACCACTACCTGCTGTGCGCGCGGCTGCAGTGTGCGGGCGCTCTGTCGGGGTGGGCATAGGCGACCCGCCGCACTCGGACGCCATGCGGGCCGGCGGCGGCGGCGGCGTAGAGCGCCTCAAAGCGACCGGGAGGGGGGAGGGGGGGGCGACAACCGCTGGTACCGCCGTACACTACCACACGGCAACAGCAGCAGCGGTCTCTCTCCCTCGTACTCTCGCTCGCAGTTTGCCGCGCGCGCAAGTGGTCCTTCCCTTATACACGAGTGACCGCGTCAAACTCGGCGGCGTCGGCTGCCAACAACTCCTTGCTGCTGCCGCTCGCTACTTTCCAAGCACTTCATGGCAAAGAAACTCGTCTGCCCGTGGCTGCGGCCGCGCCGTACCCAAGAGCGCGCGGGCCGCGGCGGGCGCGGCTCAAAAGGAAGATTAAACTCTATTTCCAGGAATAGAGTCCAGTCAGCCCCTACGACGACGACGACGACGACGTCCATTGGTGCGCCGCCGCGGCGCACGTCGCGAGTGCCGGCGCCAAATTGGGGAGCTCGATTAACTGCCGACCTCATTAAAGCCTATGGCCCGGCCATGAGGCCCGCCATGAGGCCGTGAGGCGGCGCCGTCAGCCTGCGCAGCCCGGCCCAGCAGAGGCCCGGCCCCGGCCGGCTGACGTTCACGTCGCCCCGCGTCGTCGTGTCCGCGTCCGCGCGGCGCCGCCCCGACGACGTCATCATCGGCATCGCATGCTCGACGCTCATGAGCCGGGGGCACTTTGTCGGCACCGCCGCCGGGCCGCGCCGTATCCCGACCGCGTGCAGCTCACTCAGGGCACAAAACTGTGCCGCGCAGCACACCGTCGGGGGCATCGTCAGGGAGTCGTAGGGGCACCGTGTCGTACGTCATCGAGGGGAAGTCATCGGGGCACCGTAGTAAGTCATCGAGGGGAAGTCGTCGGGGCGTCGTCGCGGCGTCGTCGCGGCGTCGTCATGGCACCCCGTCAGGGCTTCGCCGGCTGTCGGGGCGTCGTCGGGGCATCGTCGTAAGTCATCGAGGGGAAGTCGTCGGGGCATCATCGGGGCGTCGTCAGGGTGTCGTCGGGGCACCGTAGTAAGTCATCGAGGGGAAGTCGTCGGGGCATCGTCGGGGCGTCGTCGCGGCGTCGTCATGGCACCCCGTCAGGGCTTCGTCGACTGTCGGGGGCCAATTAAAAGCGCCGCCACCGTCGGCCGGTCGGCCGTCATGGGCGCACGCAATGAGCGTCGCGACGCCACGGGCACGCCAGTAGGGCGCCGCGGCGCGGACGCCGCCGCCGGGGCCGGACACGCCGCCGTGGCTCTCACGCCAAGCGCCCTGACTCACCACACGGGTCCGAGAGGAGAGGAGGGTCATCGAACTAGTCGAGCGACGCGCGGGACCAGTCGTCGTCGGTCGAGCCGAGCAGGACGGCCGCCGCGGGGGCAGCAGCAGCAGCGCCGGGGGGCAAATAACAGGGCAAAGAGGAAAGTGGAGGAGCAGCGCGGCAGCCGGCACGGCCACGGCCTAGGGCACCACCTACAGGGCTGCGCGCCGTGCGCCTACAAGCTGGGGCAGCGCACCTAAAAGGGACTACACTCAGAAAAAAGATTACATGGGCAGCTAAAACATTTGCTATATGGACAGCTAACTTTTGGAGCTACGCAGCTAAAAGTTAGCGTGGTAGCTCCACCGGTTTGCTCCAGAGCTATTGTGTTAGTAGTACAGCTAACTTTTTGCTGTATAGCTCCGAAAATTAGCTGTCCACATACAGCTAATGTTTTAGCTGCAAATGTAATTTTTTTTCTGAGTGTAGGAGTGCAGCGCGCCTGCAAGCGTCTGGGGCAGTGCGTCTAAAAGACTCTGGGGGCAGCGCGCCTACAGAGAACGGCAGCACGCTCTAGAAGGCTCTGCGACAGCGCGCCAACAAGGTCAGGTGTAGCGCACCTACAAGAACGGCAAAACACCCTCCAAGGGTCTGCGACAGCGCGCCTACAAGGTCAGGGGTAGCGCGCCTACAAGGGTCTCGGGGGGCAGCGCGTTGCTCGGCGTCGCTGCAGCAATCACCCTGAGTGCAGCGCGGGGCCGGGGCCGCCGGGGCGACCGCAGGCAGGACGGCGTCCGGGGTAGTTAAACCCTTTGCGGCACAAGAAAAAGGAAAGGCTGCGCGCGGCAGGAGGCGTGAGCGCAAGGGGGGGAATACGAGGGGAAGGCGGGGGAAGGGTTGGAAAGGTCGCGAAGGCGCCGCCCGCCAGCCCCCGCCATGTTGCGCAACGACGACGACGACGCATTCGGGGTGGCGCACATGGAAGCCCCGAACAGCAGGAGTAGAAGGGGAAGTCAGTCCGCCAGGGACAGTCACCCATTAGCGTCCACTGTCCAGCCCGGCCCCGGCCGCCGCAGACTCTTCAAGACGCGCACACGTGGCCGCGGTGGGGGGGGGGGGCGGAGGCGGCGGAGTATACGATACCAACACCATGCACCCCCCATTCAGAAAGCGTTCGCGGGCACGCCTCGGGCGCGCGGGGGCACCGCGGGCCGCGCATGCCGCGCAGAAGCAGACGCGCCGCCACGTCCCTCACCGCGACGCCTGTCTGTGTATAAACGCGTCTACGTAGACGGGGGCGTGGCGTCGGT